AAACCCGTTTGGTGTTTTCATTGCTTCCCAAATGAGTTGCAGCTTTTAATTACTGCCGGCTACGTGAAGTTCTCAGCCCGCCGTGGGCTCCTGGGGCGTCCACTTGCGGTTGCGTGAGGCAGCATGTTCCAGCGCAACCTAGTTTCGGACACCGGATTTGGGTATCTGGGGCTAGTCTTACGCTTATCTGTAGACAATCGCAGATCCCGAGCGAGCATGAAATTCATTTTTGCGGCGGTAATTATCTCCTTCGCGTGAGCGTACACGGCGGCGTCCCGGCTCCTCGTGGCGGGGTGCTGTGCAGGTTAGCACTGGATGTATTTATTAGGCTGTCTGGGTGACGCCGCGTCTATGGCGAAGGTGCCGACGTTTCGGTCGCCATTCTGCCATGCCTTCCCTGCATTACGCCCTGAGGAAGGTCGCAGAATGGCGACCGAAACGTCGGCACCTTCACCATGGACGCGGCGTCACCCGGACAGTCTAGTAAATACTCACCCCGGCCGCGGAAGCCTACGATCTCATTAGCACTGTATGTTTGGATGGTGAAGGAAGGGGGAGGGCAGTTCAAGAATGTGCGAGTATGCATTTCGGGCGCATCAATTACTATTGTTACTCCCGTAAGTGTAGTGCATTTATATAGCAGGAGATGGCAGTTTTCCACTCACATGAACTGGAACATAAGATGCAACCTCGACCTACACATTTACTTGGGAGTGTTCCTCCTCCAGGTGTCTCCCTCCGCGGAGTAATGCCTCAGTCGAAATAAGCTGTAAGCTCCTGACTGATTTCCCAACATGTGTGGTAGCGTAGTGCATCTATGTGTATGTATGTGTGTAAGTAATAGGTGACGGTAGGACAAGGATCAAGAAGGAATGATCGCGCATGGTACCCGGTATTTCAGCACTTCTCCGGCATTCGCCTGGAAATTCTCCACCGTCGGCACTCGAATCCTAATATCTCCCGATCATCAACGCCGCGAAGGCAACGACATTGCAGCCGACTTTTCACAGCCAACGCGTGAATGTTTGGAGAACGCGCAGTGGCTACCCGAGGTGACAAGAGAGGCGCGATGTGAAAACCACCGGTTTCGTTTCCGTCTGCGTTTCGCCAATCGCGCTGCCGGACTTTCACCGGTTTGAAGTGCAAAGCGGCGAGGACGTCCATTATGGTAATCGAGCTCCATTATGGCGAGTTTCATAAAGTGCTCCAGGTTTGATGCGCCCGCGCCCGTGCTGCGGCGCCTGGGGGAGGGAGGAATAATTCCGTCCGGCCCACTCTCTCCGCTGGCAGCACCGCGTCGAGGACGTATCCCGCGAGGCTATCTCTAAGCTGGATACTAGATCGTCTTAGGTGTGTGCACAGAGAGGGTTTGGGGGGTCCGCATTCAATCGCAATTTCAAAATCGGCCCTCTAGCCCTACGTATTAAAACATTTTATTGAAGTAAATGTAACATTTATTCCATATTTCCGCACTTTTCAAGCTGACAATTTGGAGAGTTGAGACGTAATATTTTGGGAAAGAGGCTCTACAAACCATCTGGCAACTCTGTAAGTTATAATTTTGTTGTTATTCGTCTTCTTCGTTTTATTTATATCCTGGTAAATTGTGTCATATGTAAATAAACATAGTTGGTTCTTCCTCTTGTTTTAGACATCGAAGTCTTATATATTGTTAGTACTTGACGGAAATTGTGATTGTAAATCTAGAACATGATGATGCTTGGATTGGTCTCATAGGGGGCAATGTCACAATCATCGACTCTCCTTCGATATGCCCCCTCTCTTACAGTGAAGAGTCCACTCCTTTTGTGAGAGCCTATTGTATAGAATCCTTTTTTGTGTTCATCGGATAAATACGATGTTCGTTTTAATTCGTCATCCATAATGCAAAAAAATAATCTGTATATTTACGTAAAATGCGAGGTTTTTCATCTGGTGAATTACCTCTTTATGTACCTTGTTTAAAATATTTTAACCCTTCAACTAAATCATGCCACATTTAGAACACATTCTACTATTCGTATAGTCTCTCACATAATACCCTTCATCAGTTTCAGAACTGACGTATGCATCATAATTAACCTGTTCATATTGTTCAGCACAAATAATATCAACTTTATCGATAACCTTTCCATTATCTTCATCACTCTCATAAAAGAATCCGTTAGCTTCACGATGTTCTTCCTACAAATCGTCTGGATAACTATTGAAATCCTTCAAGATGGTAATCCTTCGTCACGTTCACATACGAACGCACAAGTACTACAATAACACTTCATAGACGTGTCCACAACACCACCTCCCATGTCCCGCTGATAACATAACCTCAAACCATGGTAGTAAATCTCTAACGTCCAATACCAATGGGGGTAAGGTAGTAACCACAGATGTATATTCAAGCCGCGATATGACTTCCAAAAAAGTCCTGTTTCCCAACAAAATATTTTAAGTAAAAAAAACTACTACACAAGATATCAGAGTTGTAAAATAATTGTATGATTACAAAAATCTATAAAATAAACGTTGGGGTAACTCAGTTACCCCCCTCGGAAGCAGAAGGGTTAAATAAAAGTAATTTCTTCGATCGTTTAATCGAAATAAAAGTAATTTCGTCAATTCTTATAAAAGCCCACCAACTTGAAACCTGCCCTGCCAGGAAGACGTGTAACGGGCGCGGGGAACGAGCCGGAACAGATACACTCTCGAATCGCGGACCTTCCGTCACGTCGCCTCTCGGCGAAGCCAATCGCCGCCGTCGATTGTCGATTGTCTCCCCGCTGTGACGCGGTGGCGCAAATGAAAGCGGCGCTGCAGGCGGCGAGCGCGCGGGCGGCGGCTGTGACGGAGCAGGTGGACGCGCCGCGGGCCATTTCGCGGTTCACAGGGGGCGGCGGAAGGTTCGCGCCGAACGCGTAGGGGATTGTTCTGGACATTACGAATCTCTTGTTTGAAGTGGTGAACTACAGTAGATGGTATGTGAAACAAGTATCGTTAGACGTGACGCTAAAACATGATATTATAGAATTACCAAACGAGACTTTTGGCACGAATTTCATATCAAGTCGAATATTGTGGTGGAATAAGATGGTGCGAATATCGTTCAAAATTTTTTGCACTTTCTACAAATTTCAATAACTATAATATGTGATTGAGTAATTAAATTCAGCGTAATTATCCTGCGAATGGCGAGAGACTGACTATTAGTAGTTATTAGGAGGCAGTTATTAGGTGGATTATTAGAACAGAAAGTTAGAAAGTGTTAATAGTTATTTATAGTGGGGCATGGATTATTAGAATACCTGTGTTTTGATAACTTAACAGAATCGATCTCAATTTAGTTAAGTTAGTCTATCGATAATAAATGTGCGTAATATTTAAGCTACGAATGTTCAAAAAATTAAATGACTTAACTGATAGGAGTCTGGGTTGACTGGGAGACGCCGTCAGTGTCGCCAACGTTTCCGTCGTTTTATTTCAACCATCTCAGTATTTATACTTACCTACAGCCCCGACGAAAGTTGCAGAGTCACATCTATAACATTGGCAACTGTCGTCTTAGGTTTCAATATGATTCCTAATTATGGGGATCCATGCCACCTTGTGAAATTTCCGTGCACTCCTTAAAAAATGAACATTGACATAGCGGAATCTGACTAATTTTCAAAAAGTTCTGCAAGTAGGTCAACATAAAAAAAATCAGTCCATCCGAGCATTCCTAATGATAACCCGCTGGCGAGTCTTCTCACGAGTCGCCAGTGTTTCTTGGCTAAAAATCACTCTCGTGCCGCGATTTCCGGTCCGCGGCGAGACTGATCTAGATTTTCTGCACGCTCAATTCGCTCGCGGCGCGCAAAGTGTGCGGCAGGAATCGCAATTAAGATTATTGCTTTGAATAATGCACAGTACGACTTGGGACGCACGTGGTTTGCATAAGTAGTTCTCCGCAAAGAGAAAGAGCAGATGGCAGCGGTTCGCGGGAAAGGAAGAGGGCAAAGAAAAACGGATATTCGGTGTCGACTGCGAGCGAGATACAGGAGTGAGAGTCGAGGAAGTGAAAACAACAATTATTTAGCGCTTTCTGTCCCCGACGTGATTTTAATGAAATTATCGAGGAATAATATCGATTGTTCTTCTAGTTCATTATTTTGGTGAGATTCGTACCGTAATTAGTAAGAAATTAGTTTGCTTTCGTGAGACCGATAGTAATAAAGACTTCTGAATAAAAAGGTTAATTTTGCAACAAAAGAAAATTTAAATAATTACATTAATATGTCTTCCCATTGGAATAACGAGACTTAAAATGTCCTCTGAATTGAAACTTACATGCATTTTATATTGGAATAATTCAAATAGATATTTTAGAACGATTTTATAGATTTTAGAGACAATTCTCGGATATTCGACAAATGCCTTTAATACTGAAATAAAAGTATTAAGAATTATTAGTATAATGCTTATTTATGAATGTCAGAATAAACAATTCACAATAAAATACACGTTCGTTATTCTTTTGGTACATACGTATTTTTTCTAACTTGAGTAAAATACTAGATGATTGTTAATTGAATATACGAAGTACAGTATATTAAATACTCAAAGTGTTTATAAATACATCAAAGTATTTAATTTTTGAGTAAAATGCACATTATATACTGTAATTGAAATAATCTAATCGTTACGTGGTTTTATTGAAATTTCGAATATTTCATGAAATATTGATCCTGAATGTCGAATCGATCATACATGATCATATCATATATCATCCACTACCGTTTCGTATTGAATACATTCTATAATTTCGCATACGATATATAAAAATTATCGGAGTGAACGTTCGAGCTCTACGTCAGTGATTCCCGTCCGCGCCTCTCGCCGCTTCAAACAGCGCGCGCTCACACGGCGAGGTTGGCAGCGCCGGCGTTCGCGCATGCGCCGTGCGCGCGGCCGCCTCCGGCCCGCGCGGGCGGCCGGCCTGCCTGCCTCGTCGGCCGCGGCGCGCGCGGCTGTTGGCGGCGCGGGCCCGACGCGAGCGCGCGCACTTGGTCGACGCTCCGTAGCGCCGCCGGACTCGACGGGCCCCTCGCGGCTCGCGCGCGGACAGTCGACTCATTGTGCGACCCCCCTCCCCCTGTCTTCCCGTCTCCTGGTCTCTGCCCCCGCTCCTCCCGGGAACGTGCTTGTGATCGGCGGCGGTTCTCCAGAAGCTCTGACGTCCTGCCGGAGGTTGGTTTTGCCTTTTGATGTGCGTGTGCGCGAGTGGAATATTCGAAACGGGGGATTCCCCGAAAGTTGCCGAGTGTACTGTTGCTTATGTAGAGTGGTTTTTTATGACTGGCTTCCGGCGAGGGTGAAGCATCGACGTGGGATATCGGTTCCGTGAAGTTCGTGTTGCGACGGAGTGCGTGTGGGAGGAGCGCGGTGGACGTGGGACGGTCGAGGAGACACGTCGCGCTCGGGGAGGGAATTGAGTGAGTGTGTGAGGTGACAGCTGGTTTGACGCCTGCCTGGCTCGTCGCGAAGTCGTTCGTTGACGACGGCTCGTGACCGCCCGCGGGTGAAGGAACGACCGGGCGGCGGTGCCCAGGCGATGGTAGTGGCGAGGGCCGCGAGCGCTGGAGCGTGTCGTCGCTGAAGATGACTTCGGACAGCACGAGCGGGGGCGGCGGCGGAGGAGGAGGCGGTGGAGGGTCCACCAAACGGATCAGCCGCTCCTTCCAGTCTTGTCTGCGCGGCGCGCGATCTCCCGATGATGACGGGCCCGCTGAGGAAAACGGTGAGTGCGGGTGGCGGATCGTGGCCGGATAGACGCCGTTGGAAAATCGCTTTTCATAATCGCTTTTCATACACATTGTCCCGAGTTGCAGTCTACCTGAGCGCAGTGAGGTAGTAAGTCTTATTGCCATGCAACTGACGTTTTTGGATTTTGTTATTCGTTTTACATGACAGTCTTCAATTGACAAAATAATAAATTGTGGTAACAATTGTCTTAAATCTTGTTGTTTGTAAATAAACAGTTTAGTTTGGTTAGTTTCAACAGATGCTGTGGAGTTCGTATTACTCATGAGCCCATGTTTCGCTGGGGGCTCTGATGGAACGGAGAAATTAGTGAAACAGTCATATAAGCGGAAGAGCGCATTGAAATAATAAGAGTTCTTAAAAAAACAACAATTTCGCATCTGCAAATTTACAAGTTTTATTTGACAGATAAAAATAGAACGTATAAGTTTGTAGATTCAAACGACCACCAATGTAGAGTTCAAACGTTTAAGAGCACAGATGTGCACATTGAATCAAACAATTTTAAAACGTGCCATATTATTGAAGTGTTTTTTTTCGACACGATGCTTTTAATTGTAATAGTAAAAGCCCCTACACTCTTCTCTTTCAGGCCTAGGCCTCCAGTTTTAAAGCAATATATGAAACAACATTAATTAATTGATCTATTCTGAATTTAACAGAGATCACAACTTACCTGTGAATCTTCTGGGAATATATTCGAAAACTCGAATCATGTTTCTCTGATCACTTGAGTTCTACGAAACCACTGCTTTGAAATTCCGTTTCTTCCAAATCAGCTCTTATCGATTATGAATTTTCTATTTCTTCAAAAAAATGCCGAAATAATAATAATAATAATAATAATAATAATAATAATAATAATAATAATAATAATAATAATAATTTTGACAATTTTTATTCCTTCATTCAAATAATTTGTATTTTAAATAATAATAATAATAATAATAATAATAATAATAATAATTATTATTATTATTATGTAGGCCTTGTGGATGAATTTAAAATACAAATTATTTGGATGAAGGAATAAAAATTGTCAAAATTCGATATCCTTACCGGATTCAAATATTAAATTACGACTTCAATTGATCCGTGAATGTGTTCTACCTACATTTGGAGCTGTCTGGTTCAACTCCACTTTTCAAATGAAATGACACGTCATTTTTTTTGCGGCCAAATGTTTTATTTTGCCCAATTTGAAGAATACTCCGTCTTTCGATTTTGAATTTTCTATTTCTTCCAAAATTCCGCAATTATTATTATTATTATTATTATTATTATTATTATTATTATTATTATTATTATTATTATTATAGTGTCAGAAGGTTAAAGTGACGCATGTTGCTATACCGAAACGTAAAGGGGAAAAAATCTCAAACTTGTACTACAGCATCGGCAATGACCTCAGAGGAGAAAATAATGGGGAAGGTTGAGTCAACGTTACTTGAGGCTAAAGGTACTGCAGTTCTTTCCCCGACACTTCTCAACTGGGGAGGGTGGGGTTGGCCACAACCAAAAGGAAGGACAAGACAGGAAACTAATCTTGCATTCAGCCAGTTACGTACAGGGCATTACACGAGATAGAGTACCAACGAATCCGTTTCTTATCGTTTGTACTTGCTCTGCTTTGTTAAAGTTGCAAATTGATGGTCGTTTAGAAACGATTTACTACTACTTCTTGTGATGCAGGTTTTTATATGCAGAATTAACCACAAAATATTGTTTCGAATTTTAAAATAAAGTGCCATTAGCGAATTCTAAATTAAAATATCTTGTTTCTCATTTCATTATATCTAATAACTCATATTTGTGAACATACTATCGCATATTTCTGTTCGAATTTTAAATATGGCGTGTGCGCTACCTAAAGTACCGATAAATATTTACCGTAAAGTCTAAGCTTGTTATCCAAACCTATTTCGTAGTTTCGAACGTCAAAATGAAATTGTTTATTAAAACTGCATGCCTACTCAAATCATTGAAAATGTTGAAAAGAATGCTTTAAATGAAATCGAACCCTCTAAACAAGAAATGTAGTAGCACTTTCTTAAGAGGTTACTTGTTCATATGGTGCCACATCATTTTTTGGCGGGATTGCAATTTTCTGTGTTATAATTTGAATCATTTTGATCAACCTGTTAAATTAATTTCCACCGAGCTGCTCGTTCTCTCGTGAACTGGGCAGGCCTTCATATAGTTCTGGCAAATGTCCAAAGTCCACATAACTGGTCGAGCAGTGGAGAGGGAATCAAATGCGGATTAAAAAGAGAAATCATACAAAAAAAGTGACACAGCTTCTGCTGGAAAGAAATCAGATGTTATGTGGGAATAGCATTTTTTAGTTTTGAGAATAATTAGAATAATTCTTTTGGAGTTCTTACCGTTTAAAACATACTTTTGTGAAAGTTTTTAAGATCAAGTTCTGTGAAAGATGCTCTTGAACACTCGTACAAACAAAACATAAATTTAACGGGAGATGGAAAAATCTACGATCACAACAAAATGAGCTCAATTAACTTCATGGAGATTTTAGTAAGACGGTTGAAAATGAAGGTTTTGATGCATACAAAACTGCCATATTTATAACATTCTTTGGACTTAAGATGATTGTCGAAAACCGCTATTGTCATAGAAGTGCTGCTAGAGCTCAGGTCAGTCACGTGACGAACAGTGATACCAAAATCTACAAATCCTGAATTATCGAAAAATTCGTATCTACGTGGTTTTCAAGGTACACCATAAAATTTGTAGTTCGAGAGTTTCAGTGAATTTTTATTATACATTTTATATTTTCTTTAAATTGGCCTGCATTCCAATTCAAGTCAATTAAACGCTGGTCCAATATTCAAGAAATACATAGTTTCGAACACATCGACAGAAGTCGAAGGTTATTGACCGCACAGTTGAATGGCTGTTGTTTAGGAACAATGAGCCAGGTGATCAGAATGCAGGATTACCACTTCCTCTCGCCGCACGCGAATCTTAATTATGTATCTGTAATCGATCGCAATGGACATAAATTATAGAATCTGCCGGAAGATGAAACGGATTGTCTTTGGCAATAGCCCGTAATTGAACGTTAAAAGCGTCTATGGCAATACATATTCAGTGGAACATTCTTGTCTGGTATTATTGTTAAGAGTTCCGTTTCAGTAATATACTATTCTTCAAAGATATTATTTATTTTAATATTAATTTTGTTACATCTTAAAACTTCTATCCTACTAAAACATTAGGCATCCCGTTAAAAAACGATGTAACTCACAGTTAAGCGAAAATAGTAATATTTTGAAGAAAAATATGATCTTCTGCATTGAAGATGTAGGACAGAAAGTGAAAAAGGACCTTCAAATCGAACAATTCCAATTACTCTCCTGCCACCGCTTCGGACGTCTCGTCGTTTGCATTACCGCTAATTTCCGAAGTTTCGCTGTTGAAACCCGTCATGTCCCTCTTTTAGGAAAGTTGCCTCGGCTTGAGCTCGGAACGCTTGGTTGCGCGTACCCAACGCATCTTGGATTTGGGCGAGAAACCTGGTCCCTTGCTCGAAATGTGGGGCGCGGCCGCGGAGCGGGTTTGTTTTTCCAACAGCCGCGCGGCGCCGCGGGCCGCACTTTCGCGCGGTCAGCCGCTTGCTTCCAGGGCGCACCTCTCCGCAGCTGCTGTGGCCGCCGCCGTTGTCGTGACCAACACAGTCTCCGCCTCAATTATTAGTTCCGTCACTTTTTTTCACTGCTGTCGCCTCTGCCACTCTACCCGCGCTACCGTGTCAACCATTTCTACTTCTGTTCCCGCTACTACATCTATTATATCTATCACGTATCACGCTTCTACCACTCCTCCACTTTTCCACTTTTCTCCCCTTTACCATCTCTACCTTTTCTGTCCACGCTGCCACCTCTACATTACACTCGGCCACGCGTAACGTTATAAATCGATCCGTTATATTGGTTTTGCCCAAAAAAACTGAGCATTGGCGACGCGTCGCGGCGTCCATAGAGTGGAGAATTGGCCTATCGTAATACGTAACACTTAGTGGCTCAAGCAGCAAAAATGCTGCTGAACATAATCACACAAAACTGTTTTCCAGAAAATAGCATGAACACTGGGAAAGCTACCAATAAAATGTTCTTATACTGCAATGTACTATTAAATCCTTTAAGAAAAATCTTCACGAATTGTGAAATAAGTTCTTTATATTCCAAGAATATAAAAGAGATTGATAACTAAATAGAAAATATTTAATGGCAGGAAGCCTCTTCCATGTCGCCTTGTTATCGCATGACATCAGCTGCTTTGTAAGCAGTGACAGATTGAGTATGAGAATTGAGTGAATGAGAATTGGCATTTTCACTCAATATTGATACTGTTATTGTGTTTAAAGTATATAAATTTCTAAATGTATTTAGTATATAAATTTATAGTCGTATCTCAAAAGTCATCAGGTCGCGTAGTTTTCTTTCAACTCCTGCGCGCATTGTAAATAAGAAATTTCGATAGTAATAGTAGGTTCATAAGGGCAGCGTTAGCTACGGTAGCAGTATATACATCGAGAGGCGAGCGCGCGAGCCGCGTCCGTGGCCCGAGGCGTTGCGCAAGGCGGAACTGGCTGCGGCGCGGGGCTTGGCTCACCCACCGCCCGCAGAGCCCCCTCGCTGCCAAAGCGCTGCCAGCGACACCGTAGGCCTCCCTGGGCCGCAGGGCGCGGAGGCGCTCGCCACGCAAAGGGCAAGGCCCTGTACACAGTGTTGGAGACCATGACTCGGTCTTAGAATAGCGAAGGAACTTAGAATAGCGTCCAAGGCGGAAAGCGGAAGTCTACGGGTTCGAGACCCGCGTGTGATGTGCGGGATTGCACCGCGTGGTTGTGGGGTTACTACCGCGTGCGTCATCGGAATATCATCTCATTCTAATCGTTGTTCTAATTACATCAATCGTTTATTCGCTAGAAGTCAAAAGCAAAACGCGAATTGG